AACTAGGGTCACAGCCCCTTTCTCACCCAAGAAGCTAGGCCAGGGCCACAAAGCCGAACACTCTCTCACAGTGTCAGGTCAGCCCTGGGAAGAAATCCAAGGGGTGGGACCCATCTAGGCTCCTCTTCTTCCCCTCCACTGACCACCGCCCCCCCTCCCAAAGGTCAGGATTTCTGGTGCACAGGCCCACAGATGCTCAGTGACATAACTTCAGGGGCAAATTCAACTCCCTCTCAGAGACTGTCTTTTCTGTGCCAAGACAGAACCCTCCATCCTGTCCAAGGCCACTATATTCTAGGAGAATGGTACCCCTTGGAGTTGTGCAGCAAGACCTCTGCGAATTAAGGTCATGCTTAGGGCTTCCCTGGTGGCTCAGAGGTTAAAGCGTCTGCCTGCAATGCGGGAGACCTGGGTTTGATCCCTGGGTTGGGAAGATCCCCTGGAGAAGGAAATGGCAACCCACTCCAGTATTCTTGCCTGGAGAATCCCATGAATGGAGGAGCCTGGTGGGCTACAGTCCATGGGGTCGCAAAGAGTCGGACACAACTGAGCGACTTCACTTTAGTCCTGCAAAGCCCAGATACAAATCTGAGAGACGGATGAGGGTGTTTTGAGAGTTCTCTCTGTCCCTTTCTGTAATCCCAGGCAGACGCCTTCCCTGAGTCCTCCTCTTCCTTACATACTATAGTCCCAGATGGAAGGAGATCTGAACTGAATGAGGGGTCCTTCTGCCATCCTGCCCTTCCCTTGAACCTGACCTTGGCATACTCAGTTCACATTCCTATCTGTCACTTTCTATTATATTGAGCAGGGTAGATCCTACTCTAGTCTGGTTTGTGGTGCTTAATAAATATTTGTTGAATGAATGAATGAATGAGTAAGTCTGTCTCTGCTGAGATCTCTACCAATAATTGTTTGCCACAGAGATCGTTGTATTATAAGGGCAGGTTCTTTTTTTTTTTTCTTAACATATATATTTTTTTAATTGAAGTATAGTTGACTTACAATGTTTCAGGTTCACAACAAGTGACTCGGTTATACATATACACATATATTATTTTTGATATTATTTTGCATTACAGGTTATTACAAGATAATGACTATAGTTCCCTGCACGGTGCAGTAAACTTTTGTCGCTTGTTGCATCTTTTTAAAATTAGAAATCTAGCATTCTATTCATACTAAGTCAAACAAGTAGAATCAACATGTCATAAATTTTTTAGTTAGGCAAAAATTCCTAAATTTTCTAAAATATATATATATTTATTATGTATGTATATGTATAGAAAAGCTTTTCTACTATGCTTGATAAAGGCTTCAGAAAGAACATGAAAAAAAAAGAGAGATGGAGAAGTTGGAAAACATAAATGAAATGAAATGGGAGCACTGAATATGAAATAGAAAAAGTGAAACAAACTAGATAAAAGTAAAAGATCATTATATAGTCCAGTTATTTTTAAACATAACAACAGCAGTTTCTTTCAAACCAAAACAACTTCTAAAGCCAAAGGACTGACCACTCTACTGTGGTGTACCCGTTGTGACCTTGGGGAAAAAGAACTTTTTCAATCCTTTTCAGATGATACAAGTAGGCAACAACCTGCTGCTAACACTTGCCCCAGCTTCCCCATGAACGGTTTCAGGTGGACTGGACAAAGCCCTGGGAGAGAACTTTCCAGCTGTATTCCCTGGCAGAATTCTCTGTAACAAGGCTGACTTTTCTCATATCTTCACCCAACTTCTGTATCCAGGCCTGGGATATCAGGGCCACACTTTCCACACCTTCTGAAGGATCCTCACCTCCTGATTAGTCTTCACAGAGCTTTTCCACATCTCCTGTTTTTGACCCTTTGTGAATCATTTCTCATCAGGACAGAAGTCTAGGGTGAGATGATTAAGGTACTCCCCACAAGGTATAAAATTTAAGGGGGCACCAAAAACCTCAGTAATTTTAAGATTAATAATATTCATATTAATCATTTTAGAAAATCAGAACTAATGCAAAATAATCTATGATGAATAAAATATCAGAAAACATTTTAATTATATTAAATATTATTTATCTTGTTCATTGAGTTTCTTGGCACTCCCTTAAAGTGTGTACTGAGGCGAGTACCTCACTCAGTCAGGCTAGTTTCAGTCCCAGAAGAGTGGAGTGCACCAACTTCAGCTCTCCGTCTCTAACTGCTGTTGGCTTCAGCCTAGACTTTAACTAGTGAGAACCAGCTTGAAGGAGATGGGTAAGTTGGTGATTGGTCTAAAGCCCAATACGTCTGTCAGAAAGCCAGGGAAACAGATAGGCAGGGGGCCAAGTCTATTGTTCCAAAGTTTCCACAGGCCTTGAATGGCCCTTGGGCTCTGCAGTCTGGTGATCAGAGGTGTAAAGATTTCTGAACAATTCCAGGCCTTTGATACGGTTGCCAACACCCATATTTTTCATCCTGGGAACAATGCCACAGAGGGTCACAGCCTCCCTCCCCCACCTAAGTGAGGAAGTGTCTGCTGGTGGTGGGTGGGGACAGGTCCTATGAGGGCAAAGTTCAGAAGGACAGAGGAGTCTTTCTTATCCTGACTGCCTCTTCCCTCTGGTACACACTGACCTCCCCACCCTTTTGCACTTTCAAAACCTGTGCTTGTCTTATTCCTCTGTTCCCCTTGGTCAAACCAAACACATCTCTGCTCCTCCCTATGGAGGAGTAGTCCCAATACTTCCCAGCATGTAAACATTTCCTTTCGCTGGTTTAGAACTTGGCTCTGGCTCTATTCTCGTGTCCCAACCCCACTGCAATTTATTTTTTCAAAAAATGCAAGAGTGAGCTATCTTGTTATGGAAGCAGGGAGACACAACCTCAGGTTCCTCTAATTAAGCCTTTAGAACTCCTCTGAAGAACTGGGGTATCAACTTCATCAACAAAGTCCTTTTTGGGGAGGCACCATCTGGGGATGCTCCCCCCTCCCCCGCCCCGCCGCCAAAAGGAGGTATCTGTGCTAATTTGACTGCTGTTTTGGAGGAATGCAGGTGAAGGAGAGGTAGTTTCCACTAGGCAAAATGTTTTTTCCACTTCCTGTTCTTTGCTATTTTGCTGTCTTCCGGTGTTAAACCACCACAGTTTCGGAATCAGATGAAACACAGTGTAGGCCTGCCATTTGGCCTCCATCCCCCCAGAACCTGGTGACTCAACGAGATTTCACGGTGCCATTGAAAGGACAGGCTTTTGCAACGGCAGAACTCACTGTCCCAAACCAGGCTTTAAGCCTGGCTCTCTTGAGGTTTTTCTTCCTAATGCTGACCTGATGTATATGTGCGTGTTTTTCAGTCCCCACAACTTCCTAGGAATGACTAGGCAGTCATCATCTGGCCCTTGTGAGGAAGCAAGGAAATGCAGCAGGGTGGGGGAAGCCCCTTCAACGACAGCCCGACGACAGCAGATCCGGCTCTCAGGACCGGAAGTGTGGGCGTGTGTTACGTTGCCGCGCAACCAAAGGCAACCAAGCAGCAAACCTCAGAAGGCAGAGCCGGTTACGGAGGGGGAATCTCAAGCACCTAGTGTCCCCCAGAGACTGGGCCCAGCTCGATCAAAGGAAAAGTCAGCCTCCAAGAGTCCACAATGACGCAGAGGAAGCCAGGGGAAACAGTCAATGGCGAGTCACCATTGATTCACAGTCTGAACGGTAGAGCAGGACCAAGCTGCAACCCGCAGCCTCTCGTAACCCTCGCTTTACTGATAAAGGAACGGGAAGCAGGAAAGTTAACCAGTCCGAGTCCCACTGCCAGCGTCAGAGCCAGAACCACCGCTCTATGGCCTTCTGTTTGTATAGCTTTTAACAGTTTGCAGACTTTCTCACGTGCTTTAGTTTCTTCTGATCCTGAACTGAGAGCAAATATTTATTCTTCAAGGGAGAGGCCAAATGAGGACTGCATTGTTTCCTCATCTGAGAGGATAAGAGTACTTTTTTAATGGAAGTCTTACTAGAATTAAATGGGTTGATAATGTTGGGGCTTCAAGAGGATATAATAAAGGACACCCCTCATCCATTACAAAGCTCTGAGTAGTTTAAGGAATGGACGTGAACAAGTCAAATAAATGGAATCAAAATATCAACTTTACTCTCATAGGTTTTATATTGAAGTCAGTGGTTTGTATGTGTGGGTAAGTGAACCCCAGAATTAGGCAAGGTACCACTTGGCTGGGGCAGGCCGCCCAGTTGTGAACTGTCCCTGAAAACCAGGCATTAGGGGAGAAGAGAACCAACAGGAGTTCTGGAGGAGACCTGCTGCGGAGAGAAAGAAGAGAGAGGCTTCCTACCCACATACTCACCACGGAGAAAGTGCTTCTCCTCCCCTTTCGTGGCCTCCTGTCCCTCCCGGCTCCTCAGGAGGAGTGAGTCAAGGAAAAAGGAGAGGTCTGCCCTGTGGAAGGAAATATCAGGGGTGAGGAAGAATTTTTTTTCCACCCTAGAAGCCCCATAAATATGCATAAACACTTAGTACTTGGTACAATAGTAAGAGCTCAGTAAAACTTAGCTGTTACTATTATTTTTCTAGTTACAGCCAATTAGTCATAGTAGAGACTGCCTTACCTGCCCCAGTCTGATTTCTCTAATTGTGTCTGCCCTTATTAGATGTGTGACCTTGGCATGTTATTTAATATCTCTAAACCTCAGTGTGCTCCTCATAACAGTACTGTTGTTTAATCTCGTCACGTCCGACTCTTTAGAAACCCTATGGACTGTAGCCTGCCAGGCTCCTCTGTCCATGGGATTTCCCAGGCAGGAATACTGGAGTGGGTATCCTTTTCCTTCTCCAGGGGATCTTCCTAACTCAGGGATTGAACCCACATCTCCTGTATTGGCAGGTGAATTCTTTACCACTGAGCCACCTGAGAAACCCAATAATAGTACCTACCTTATAATTGGAGGTAACTACATGATTTAAGTGGAAAAGACTTAGCACGATGCCTGGAGCATATTTAATATTCAATGAATGATGATTGTTGCTCTTATAAAAAGAATTTGGGAGTCCAGAGCAAAATAAATGTGAAATTAAGACTGAGACATGATTGATTTAGAAGAGGCATGTAAAGGAAAGCCTTACTGCTATCCATTAAAATTAGAGCATTTGCTCCCATTGGATCTACAATCTGTCCACCTGAGAGCGAAGCCTTGAAAGTACTGCCAAACCTTTTGGGCCTTTTCCCATCACTTTCTGGGCTTCCCTTGTGGCTCAGATGGTAAAGAATCTGCCTGTAATGTGGGAAACCTGGGTTGGAAAGATCCCCTGGAGAAGGGAATGGCAACCCACTCCAGTATTCTTGCTTGGAGAATCCCATGGATGGAGGAGCCTGGTGAGCTACAGTCCATGGGGTTGCAAAGCTCAGACATGACTGAAATGACTGAGCATGCCATCACTTTCATACAAAGAGGAGAAAGTCTCAGTCTGGTGTTAACCTTGGGAAGATGACGATATTCTTTTTTTTCTTTTTTTTTGTGTGTGTGTGATAAAATTTTATTAAAGTATAAAGGAGATAGAGAAAGCTTCTGACACAGGCATCAGAAGGGGGCAGAAAGAGTAGTCTTCTGCTAGTCTTCATCCTGCTAGTCTTCGGCTGGATGTTATATAGCCACTGCTGCTGCTGCTAAGTCGCTTCAGTCGGGTCCGACTCTGTGCGACCCCATAGACGGCAGCCCACCAGGCTCCACCGTCCCTGGGATTCTCCAGGCAAGAACACTGGAGTGGGTTGCCATTTCCTTCTCCAGATGACGATATTCTTGAAGCTGTGAGCTACTTGAGAAGGATAACTAAGTGCTGTTTTTTGTGTGGACCAAAATGGCTTGAGCCAGTCACAGAACCTAAGGACCTCTGTCTGAGCGCCAGGAAAATAGATAATGAGGTCGTCTGGTTCACTACTTTGTCCTTAGCACCTAGCATGATGTGTGACACATAGCACTGATTCATTAAATATTTACCGAATAAGTGAACTGGCAGATTGTTCTCCACATCAGCAGTGGGGAGATGGTACCTGAGATGTGGTCTGACTCCTCATCTAGATGTAAGGAATGCTGAACCAGAAGCATTCCTACAACCCCTGACTTTGGTCTTGCTTAGGGCAGGAAGGAGGGAGGGAGGGCGAAGAGACTAAGTTGCTAAATAGTAAGTAACCCACAGAACTAGAAATTGCTGCTTTTTTCCTTCAGACACCCAATGAGTATTATTTTGAATATAGAATTTTGAGTTATTCATGCTAAGGATTTCCTATGCCAAATAAGGTAAGAAAGAATGAAAGATGGAATATTTTAGCAATCAGGGTAAACTAGCAGTAACTCAGTTTGAGACAGGGGTGGACGTAGGATGTTGGCAGAGCTAATCAGATTTTATCCTAAAGTCTCAGGCAGCCGAAGAAGCTACTTTATGTAATAGCACAAGACTGAAAACAACACCCATGTCCATCTAGAAAGGAATCTATGCAAATGGAGTACTGTGCAGCTGTAGAAAAGAAGTGGCTCTGTGTATTCACATGATCTCTGGAATATATTGTTAAATGAAAAACACAAGATGTGCAACAGCATGTCGAGTATACTAGTATTATCTGAAGAAGGGAAATACAGCTACTTATATGTATGGAATATAAACCAAACACTAGGAAAACTGGTTATCTTCAAGGAGAAGGGGGTTGAGTGAAGAGGAGAAAATTACACAGAAGACTTGACTTCTCTCAGTGTTCTTTAGTTTGTAGGGTTGACTTTGGAACCATGTCTATGTTTTAAATATTATAAAGCAAAAATTTTACAAGATGGGTTAAAAAAAGAAATTCCTAAAGATTGAGAGCAAATGAATCTGTGTATTGAATTAGTGGCAACTATACAGAAAGGAATTATTTCTAATAACTTTATAATATAGTAAGCTAACTCTGTCCCTACTGTGATAGATCCTAAAGATAAAAGGAACTGTGTCTTAGTTTGCCAGGGCTGCTGTGAAAAAATACTGTAGGCTGGGTGGCTTACACAACAGAAGTTTCCTACCTCACAGTTCTAGAAGCTAGAAGTCCAAGATCAAGGGCTCAGCAGGATTGGTTTCTTCTGAGGCTCCTCTCCTTGGCATGTAGATGGCTATTTTCTCCCTGAGTCTTCACACAGTCTTCTGTGCAGTCTCTGTCTTAATCTCCTCTTCTTATAACACCACCAGCCATAGGATTAGGACCTGCCCTAATGAATTCAACCTTAATTACCCCTTTGAAGACCCTATCTCCAGATATTGTCACTTTCTGAGGTATTTCAGCATATAAATTTGGAGGCACACAGTTCAGCCCATAAGACCCTATCTCCAGATATTGTCACTTTCTGAGGTATTTCAGCATATAAATTTGGAGGCACACAGTTCAGCCCATAACAGACTATAAAGAAATTTAAAACTATATTCCATGTGCAGTGGTAATATTGGTATTGGGGTATGTGTATAGTTTTTAGCCTGAGCTAAGCCCCTAGACACCTTGAAGCAAAGGTAAACTGTACCTGTTTTCCTTTCCAAATTCCTGACCCCAAACATCATGAGCAAAATTTAAAAGTTAAGAGGTACAATGGGGTGTGGGAGGTGGGAGAGAGGTTCAAGAGTGAGGGGACAAAAAAAAAAAAGTGAGGGGACATATGTGTATCTATAGCTGATTCGTGTTGATATATGGCAGAAAGCAACACAACATTGTAAAGCAATTATCCTCCAATTAAAAATAAATTAGTTAAAAAAAAGTAGTTATTTAAGCTGCTGAGCTAAGTTATATATTTTTTATGCAACAATAGTAACCAAAAGAGAAGCCTTTTTGTCCTCATCCCCTACCAAGAAAAGCAGTTTTCGGGCAGGTGGTGGGGCCTGAATTTTATCAACCTTCTAGATAGATATCATTCTACCTACCAGTTTGCAGGATTAGGGAACACATTAGGGGAACATGATGTCACAAAAATATAATCAGGAAAGTCCAGAATGTGGAAATCTCTACAGGACAAATAAACTGGCTTTTTCAACAACACAAACAAAAAGTTGCAAGAAGAGAAAAAGAAGGGAAATTTGGTGGTTAAAAAACTTGAAAGACAGATCAAGAGGTAAATTCGCCTTGGGGGTGTTGGGTCCTGATTCAGACAGACAAAAACAAAAATATTATTTATGATACAATTGGAAAAATTTGAATACTAACGATATTTTATGGTATTAAAATTATAGTTAATCTTTTCAAGCTTGATAGTGTTATTGTAATTATATTTTGTCCTGTTTTCTTTTAAGGGTCTTTATCCTAAAGAGATAGATGCTGAAGAAAATGGATGAAATGAGGTAAGGTGTGGGGTTTTTGTTAAAGTAACTGTGTATGTTGTGGAATCTGGGGGTACATGGAGTGGAAGGATATAGTTGAAACATGATAGGTCATAGGTTGGTAATGTTTTAAGCAGGATGATGAGTGTATAGGAGCTTATTTTATGGTTTTGTGTTTGAAAATGTCCAGTAATGAAGTGTTGTTGATGTTGTTGTTGCTTTTTTATTTGAGCAGAAAACTGTCCTTCAAAATGTTTGAAAGTATAATTCATTGAACAAGCATTTCATTCAATATTAATTGAACACTTACTGTGTGCCAGGTACTCAGTTAAACTGTGAGGCTGCAGATGTGGATTGGTCATGCCAATCCACAAAGAGGCAAAGGTACTGCCTCTTTGAATCTAGTTTATGGTCTAGTGGCAAAGAAAGCCTGTACACAAATGAAATATAGGACAAAAGACATGCTAAGTACTACAAAAAGGAATAGACTGTCTAGAACAGTTTCAAAAACATTTATCTTTACCGAATCCATCCCCACCCAACCATGACTTAGATGCTTGACTCAGCATTTACATATGAGTGTTCCAAGGCCTAGCATAATATAAATTTGAATGTGCATAGAAAATGTGACCTCAAACTATTTGAAAAACTCTGTGTTATGATATGACTGCAGCTTTTCCAGCATTACAGAGCAGGGGAAACTCCATGTATCTACTTCATGCTTATCTTTGTCAGCTAGGGTTACCACAGCAAAATACCATAGATGGGGTGGCTTAAACAATATTTATTTCTCACTGTTGTGGAGGCTGAAAGTCCAAGATCAAGGTGTCAGCAGATTCAGTTCCTAATGATTGCCTTCTTCCTTGCTCAAAAATAGCAGCCTTCTGACCGTGTCCTTACATGGAGAGAAAGCGTGAGGGCCTGGATGTCTCTTCCCTCATCCCATCAGGAGGGCCCCGGTCTCAATGCTGCCACCTTAAACTAGTGATATCCTAGAGATTTCATTTCCAGATATCATCACAGGAGTTAGGGCTTCAGCATAGCCATATGGAAGGGAAACAGTCCATAGCAGCAGTCTACTTCAGTGTATCTTCAAGGTACAATCCACAGACCCAGCTATAATACCATGACCTGTTGAGCTTTTAAAAATATTCAATATCAGAAATCTTGCCCCAGATTCAGTAGGTCTAAGTTGAGCCCCGGCATCTGACTTTTTAATAACCTCCTAGTAACTATCTCAAGCATCCTAGATGAGAACCACTAACTTGGAAATGGCCATTAGTGGTGCCCACATGGGGGGGGAGGGGCAACTAAAACATTAAATTTCATAAGGTCAGTATTTCCATCCCCCAATTTGTACTTTCTAAGTTTTTAAAATTAATTTTTATTGGAATATAGTTGCTTTACAATGTTGTATTAGTTTCTACTGTACAAGAAACTGAATCAGTTATACATATATTCACTTTTTAATTTTATTTTTTAAATTAATTTTTATTGAAATATAGTTGATTTACAGTGTTGTGTTAGCTTCTGCTGTACCTGCAGAGTGAATTGGTTATAATATACATATATCCAATCTTTTTTAGATTCTTTTCCCATATAGGTCATTACAGTGCTCACAGTAGGTTCTTATTAGTAATTTATTTTATATATAATAGTGTGTATATGTCAATCCCAGTCTCCCAATTTAATCCCTATTCCCCGCCCCCATTTTCCCCCTTGGTGACCATAAATTTGTTTTATACATCTGTGACTCTATTTCTGTTTTGTAAATAGGTTCATTTGTACCAGTTTTTTAGATTCCACATACAAGCAATATCATATGATATTTGTCTTTCTCTGTCTGACTTACTTCACTCACTATGACGACCTCCAGGTCCATCCGTGTTGCTGCAAATGGCATTCTTTTGTTCTTTCTTATGACTGAGTAATATCCCATCATATACATGGACCATATCTTCTTTACCATTCCTTTGTAATGGGCGTTTAGGTAGGTTCCGTGTCCTGGCTATTGTAAATAGTGCTGCAGTGAAC